TCATCATTAATGAGTGAAACAAAATTTTTCGCATTTGCTCATGTTAATATCTGTATGAGAGTCATGATTTTACTTTTTTCCCCTAAAATTATCTTTTAACAATGGCCATGCCAAGGATATAAAAAGATGCATGTTCCTTAGGTATGTAAACAATATACACAGCAGATAGTAGATTTTAAAATTTAAGAAGGCTTTAGCTAATAATCCAGAGCCTTCAGATACAGTTATTGGCAAGTTATGATTTTCCCATATTTGGTCGACTAATCTCTTTGTTGAGCTATAGGAAGCAAACTGGGCCTTTTTATTTTTAAAATGGGCACAAGACCAATGCACTATGGCATCAAAGCAGCTCCCCCAGGACAGCCTGCAAGCCTGTTTACAATAGGAGCAAAAAGCACAGTCAGCACCTGGACAATGCTTCTCCCACCCCCACCTCACCCCCTCCCCTCCATCCTTAGACACACAAGCCCCAGCAAAATAAAGAAATTCTGCTGACATAGTCTCCCCTGAACAGGGAAAGTAAACTTTCACAGAGATTCTGCACTCAATGATTTTAGCAACTTAGGTGCCATTTCTGAACCTGCCATATGCAGAATGGCTGAGGAGCGCTGACTTTGTGAAGTCAACTCATTTCCTTAATTATTGAATGGGATTCTGGGATGCATGCTCAGCACACACCTTTGGGCTTATTCATACCCAAGCCACAAAATGAAGTGATAAAACTTTTTTTTTTTTTTTTAATCAAGGCTCAGGGATAAATCTGATTTCAAATGATGATCAGAAAAATTTTATGCCATTAAGAAAACAACTTCCTGACTTTCTAAAGATTTCAAGTAAAAAATAAATTCTTAAGGAATGGAAAGGGAACTTTAGGTTGAAGATAGATGAGGTGTGTACTAGAGGTAAGAGGCAATGAGGTGAGAGTTGACAAGGTGGGGTGAGAAAACATTTTAGTACCATAACTCAAATGTCAATATCTAAAGACTTCCATCCATATTTTCTAGTTGAAAACAGCATTGCCTGACAGAATACTGCACTGAGATCCATAGAATATAGATTTTCACCTTCTCTTTGCTCGCAATTATTGTGTGACTTTAAGTGAGTCACTTTACTTCTCTGCAGGTTCTATGTCTTACTTGTAAAATAGTTATAAATGGAAACTGGATAGTGCTTGTTCTGAGTAGGAAAAAATCCATAATCTTAATCCAAGGAGGATGTTCATTAGAAGATAATATTTAAATGTAAGCTACTACAAACGATATGTAAGGTGGTTTTGCTGCTTAAATAAAGCAATAAATGTCAGTTTGGCCCAAATTGCATAAGATTTTCTACAGTCATGTCAACTCTTATTTTAGAAAATAAACTTTTGGGCCAGCGAGTGGTGTGGAGGTTAAGACAGCTGGATCCCAGATGGTCGACTAAACAGTCCAAGTCCTGGACCTGGCCGCTTGAAAATCACATTGGGTACATCTGTGTGCATGTCAAAAATCCTGAGAAGAGACCAGAGGAGAAGGGATTGCAGCATAGCCATCCCCCATGAGGGATGACTTTTCACTTTCCCTCTCTCAGTCTCTCTTCAGTGAGTACATATACCCTGAGGCAAGAAGCAAAATAAAACAAAAAAATGAAAGAAAATCTTTTAAAATATAGGACTGACTTGCTCTTCAATTCTATTAGAAATAGTAATAAACAAATATGACCAAGTTCTAAACTAAGTGGAAAAGAAATTTCCCTATTGTTATTTGTTTATTTACTTAGTACTACAACTCCTCAGGTGAAACTTCAGACTTAATTAGAATGTGGTGGGAAAGGGAGCAAGAATCTGTTCTGATACACACTGGAGATTGAGAACTGCTAGGTCAAAGAGACAGGACTCATTTGAAGGACTGTAAGATTTACTGTTGAGTGAAGTAAACCAAGCAATGAAAAAGAGTCATCGTATGTCTCTACTTAACGTGTACCAACTGTATCCACTCTATGGCAGAAACTGAAAGACTAGAAGGTATAGAAGTGTGGAAAATGGTTAGGGATATGGAAGACTGTGTGGGAAGAGGGTGAAATAATGGGGAGAGTATGAGGAAAGAAAATAAAGAGAAAATAGAGAGGCAAGAAATTTATTAGACCCAGAAATGGATTATTATCTGTTGATGATAATGTGTGTAGTATCCTGAACTGGACTGGCATCAAGTGTATTCATGTTGGGTAAATTCACTTTACAAGTTAAGTGATGTATACTGATTGAATGTATAAAATTTAAAAATAATTAAAAAGACAGAGAATAATATCCCAGTGGATTTTATATGACCAGTTTAGAGAACTTTTAAATTATTTTTTTGAAACCTAATAAAACGTTTACCTCTCAAGAACAATTGCCATTGACCATATTTATATATCTTAAATCTTCCACTCAAACCAAGGAGCCTGAAATTTCCATTCATCATAGGGTTAGGTTGAAAACCACCATCAGATTTCCTTTCTCTTTTTCCATTGCTCTGGGCTGGGTAGGAAGTTTTGAGTATGTCAGCACAAGTTCCACCTGGGACCACTCTTAACTCAGATAATAGATTTAATGAGCTGAAAATGGGTTGTTGACCTTCTTCCAACTCATTAATGCCTTCCGGCAGCTCTCCTCATTCCTCACTTCCCTCTGCCTCTTCCCAAACACACCTTCTCATGGCATTTTAGTGACAAAAAGATGAGTGTGCACCTCAAAAATTCAAAGACTTTTGTGACAAAAAAGTAAGATTTTAAACAATTTCATTGCATTCCTGTTTTCTTTCAATGTCAGATCACTCCTATTCTGAAATGTACACAGCTCTGAGAACCTGTAAGTCTATTATTTTTACTAATATATGCTTAGCCTACCTGTCTTTGGATCAGTTAAGAATATTCTAGCTAGGTTTTTAATGAATTTAAATAAAGCACTTCTAGAACACTATGCTATAAATTCAGATTAACAAGTGTTGGGAGAGATTCTGATACACTGAACTTATTTTTCTCTTTTGAGTGATTATGCAGTAGAGAATATTTGAATGGCTCTCTAAACATCTGTAGGTAATTTCTAGAAATCTGAACTGTCGTTTGAATCTGTTAAAACAATGATTTCATTTTTTTTCTAAGTATTCCAACTGACCCTGAGTGCTCTTCTGTGAACATATTCAGAGGCAGCCCCATAATGAATAGTTTATTGTTCTCTAATTGGCATTTTGGGGGTCTTTTCACTCTCAACAGTCTGGGCTTTAGACATCTTGATGGTAGAGACAAATAATCTGTTTCTCCTCTGTCTCCCACAACCCCTAGCACAGAGCAGATATTAAGGAAAGACTTGTTGATTGATTGTTCTGAGGAAACTATGTTCCAAATCAGAATGGCTTTAGCAGTTTCAAGATGAAATGCAATTTTTAATCTGTTGTGAAGTGAGTCTGAAGATGGTAGCATACCTATTGAAGTCAGATACATATAATAAAAGGGCTGGTTGTTGTAGCCACATGCACAGGCAGAATTCATTGTTCTGTCCCCTGTGCTTCCACTGAAAGTATTCAACACTTCTTTGAATATAGTTAGTTCCACACATATCTGTCATACCCATTGGGCAACGAGCTTCTTGAGGGCATGGATCATGCTTAGTAGTCTTCAATATCTCCAGGACCTAGCAGAGAGTCCAGCACAAAGGGAACTATCAATTAGTGTGGGAGGCTGTGCACCAGCGAGTCTGCTGAGGCCATTTTCATAAGTCTCTTACTATTGCCATCTTAGGAAACCCTAAGGTTTCGGTTTCTCAGAGAACAAACAATTACACAATGCCAAAGGCCACAATTGGCTCCCCTTCAAAACTTCACCTTCAAAACCATACTCTGATTGGCCACTTCCCATAGCGCTTACCGATTGGTGAGCTTAGAATCCCTCAGATTTGCATATCTGGCACCTTATGGCTGGTCCACAAAAGCAACCAATCATAACCCAGCTTTTACAATCCTTCATTAGCATATAGGACAACCAATCACCGCCCACCAACATGTATATAACCATGATCCCTGGCCCACAATAAACGGACGACCCTGAAGAGTTATAACACTGCATCGTCTCCATGTTATAACACTGCGTCATCTCCGCGCTGCTCGTCCCGTCTCTGTCTCTCACTCCTTCCCTCAGGAAACCTGTTCGACTGTCCTGCTGGTCTGGACGTGATTGTCCCCCTTTTCTGTTTTAATTTGAGAGATGAGGAAAAGGCCTGGGAAAATCGTGCCTGTCTTAGGTTGGAGTCGTTTATGGAACCATACGTCCATTCTTACCCATCATTGGAGAGTCCCATAGCTATGATGGGCTTCCTGTCTTAGGTGGAAGGACTGAAAAGTTATTGGGTTCATCAGACTCTCTTCCCCATCTTTGGCTAACGGATTCAGCACCTCAGGCGAGACCAGTATAGGGGTGTTGGTCTTCCATCTCCAATCTAGTATAGTGGACCTGGATAGGCTGCATAGTAAGCGAGTCAATTTGTTGTTTGAGGAATGTCATGAGCCTATTAAATATAATGGGTCCCAGTGAGCAAACAATTAAAAGGCCAATGAATGGGTCAAGTAGGGGAAGCAGGAAAGGGGGGAGACCATTCCAGGTAGACCATAAGGGATTGTTGGCGAGTTGTTTTCTACGTCATTGGAGAGATTCTTGGAGTTGATGTATTTTGTCGTGAATGATGCCGGACTTGTTGGCGTAAAAACAGCAGCGTTCCTGTAAAGCAAGACAGAGACCCCCCTGTTCTGCCAAGAGGAGATTTAAACCTCGTCTATTTTGAGGAACCACTTCAGCCAGGGAATCTAGTTGGTCTTGGATGAAGGTAACTGTGGAGGCTAATTCCTGAACATCTGAGATAAGACCCTCAGTGACTTGGTGTAGATGGAGAGAAGAATGGCAAGGGTACCGGAATATCAGTGTCCATTAGGATAAATTTCCCAGTCCTGTCCTATTAAATTTAGGTTTTGGTATCAAAGGATGGATGATACCTGATTCATTTTTCCCTAAGCCTTTTCCTGGTGTATAACCCTGTGTTAACATTTGCACAGTAACTGTATCAGAAGAGCTGAGTATGATGAGGCTCATTTGTGATAACAAATCTCTACCCTTAAGGTTTATGGGGAGACCTTCTATAATAAAGGGTTGGATGGTTCCTTGGTTTCCATCAGACGGTATGAGCCAGCCCTCAGCGATAGCTTCAACTATAGCTAATGTATATGGAGCGGTAGCTCTGTATTGGGCGACTGCCACCTTAATTTCTTTTACCATTTTAAAGTCAAACCCTCTGTGATGGCACCAAACCTGCCCTTGGGGATCTGTAGTTTCTGTAACAGGGAATGTCTCAAAGTCTGTCGCATGTGATCCCTGAACTAGTTTTGTTTCTTTGCCTGTATTGGTTTTTAGTTTCTCTAATTGTGATATTAGTTCTCAGTGTTCTTTTTCTAATTGAATTTGTTCTTTTAATTGTTTTATTTCATTAATTATTTTTTGTTTGGGGTCAATAAGAGGCAGTGCTGAAGCAGTAGTGTTATAGGATGGTGGCCGATTTTTGAAGGGCGACCATTCGAGGTTAGTATATTTGTCAGTCTCGGCCTCTAGGATTTCCTCCTCTGAACTAGTTGATGACTCATTTTTCTTTGGCTCTTGTAGAGCCTTAAGGTTGTTTTTCTTTTTTAGATTTTTGGATTTTTTGGTTTTGTCTCACCTTCGGGGCTTTTAACTTCTTCCTCTCTATCTACGGAAATAAGATCCTCTCCCTGTTCTTTCTCAGTTTTAGAATCCTTGGTTAGATCGACCATAGTGGCAAATGATTCTTTTAAGCCCTGAATGAATAGTTCATGCTGACTAAGCTCTTGTTCATGCTGACTAAGCTCTTGTCCCATTATTACCCTTATTACTTATGAGTAAGTAACTTACTGGGGCGATTCTCTGCCGTCCCCTTCAGGCCAATTCTCTGCCATCCCCTTCTGGACGATTCTCTGCCATCCTCTTCTGTTTTCCTCTGCGGCCTTTCTCGGAACGATTCTCTGCTGTCCCCTTCCTGAGCTCTTCACTGGAGCCTTCATACTCAGGTCCCTTGTTTGGGCACCATGTGTCCCGACCCTCAGGACAGTTGAACAGGTTTCCTGAGGGAAGGAGTGAGAGACAGGACGAGCAGCGCGGAGATGACGCAGTGTTATAACATGGAGACGACACAGTGTTACAACTCTTCAGGGACGTCCGTAGACAACGCAGTGTTACAACTCTTCAGGGTCATCTGTTTATTGTGGGCCAGGGATCGTGGTTATATACATGTTGGTGGGCAGTGATTGGTTGTCCTATAGGCTAATGAAGGATTGTAAAAGTTGGGTTATGATTGGTTGCTTTCGTGGACCAATCATAAGGTGCCAGGTATGCAAATCTGAGGGATTCTAAGCTCACCAATCGGTGAGCGCTATGGGAAGTGGCCAATCAGAGTATGGTTTTTAAGGTGAGGTTTTGGAGGGGAGCCAATTGTGGCCTTTGACATTGTGTAATTGTTTGTTCTCTGAGAAACCGAAATCTTAGGGTTTCCTAAGATGGCAATAGTAAGAGACTCATGAAAATGGCCTCGGCAGACTTGCTGATGCGCAGCTTCCCACAAATTAGCATTTGTTATATGTACCCATGTATGAATGTATGTGTATGCTTCAGGATTAGGGCTTTTTATCATGATTTTCAATAAAAGGTGAGGATGCAAATGGTTTCTGAAGACCCTTTTCACAGACTAGTACTAGGACTTCTTAAAAATATTAGATCGTTGGTCGTCAGGAAAGCCAGGACATATTTTTTCTGTTTTTCTATGCAAAACTGAGTCATGGCTTTCCTGACAACTGAATACTGTAGAAATTGATGTTGGCAAAAAAAATAAAAAGAAATCATCTACATCAAACATACAATAGTATGACACAAATAAGTTATTATGGTTTGGATGTGAAAGATCATCTTATGGGGACTCTGTAAAAAAGAATACTTATTTTATTGCAAATCATTAAAAAAGTTAAGTTGATCATTTATTGAGTATCCAGTGGATGCCAGGCATTGTGTCAAGTTTTTTTCACATACATTAAGTATCCTATTTAATTCTTACAACCACTCCTAGCTAATTATCACTAGTCTCAAGTTTTTGTTTGTTTATTTTTAGAGATTTTTTCTGTAGGGTGTGTGTGCTCAGGCACAGACAGACAGAAACAGAAAGCAAGAAATCACACCCCCCCCCAGGGGGATGGCCACACTGCAATTGCTTTTCTTCCATTCTTCTCTAATGATTTTGGGCATGCACACACATGCGCCCAGTGAGTTTTGAGTCACCGGGTCTGGGACTCACACCGTGGTTGTCTAGGTAGAAGTCCAGCGACATAACCATTACACCATCTGCTGGTCCCTAGTCTCATGTTTTAAATGAGGAAAGTGAGGATGATAGGTAGACTTACTTGTTCAAGGTCATCTAGAAAATTACTAGCAAAACTAATCCATAGTATGAATTTTATCATGTCAGTGTGATTCCAGAGCTTAACTGTGAAGCTTGATATTACTGCTATTGGCACAATGAGCCAGCACATGGCTAGAATCATCAACCCTACCTTCAGTAAAAGTGTAGGATCTAATTCCATATTTAGGAGTGAATGATACTTATGCAAATCACATTGAACAGCCTTTCCTTCAACAATTATGTATATGTGATTTCTGAATAGAAAAAGTATCTGGGGGAGACAGGAGAACAAAAACTAGGCACAAAAGGGCAACCCGAGTTGGGAGTATAGATTTGTGCTATGGGTTGAATGAGAATTTATCACTGTTTATGAGCTGATTACTTGTCTGTATACACACCTCAGATGAATTATAACAGCAAGTTGTGGGGACTAAAATGTGACTTAGTGGTTGGGGCACTGGACTCTTATGTGGTTGACAGCTATTCTAGTCCCAGACCCAGTTGGTTGAAACTCACACCAGGCACATGAGTGTGGGTGCCCAAAATCCTGAGAGAAGAGACTGTGCTGTGGCCATCCCCCCGGGGGGTGAGTACTTTCTTTTGGTACCTTTGTCTCTCCAGTGAGCGCATATAGCAAAAGCCCCTATAGCAAAAATCTCTCTCAATAAAAGAGCAAGTAGTGTAGTCTCCTCATCACATGCTTGTGAGCTGCCTCCTGTCTTTTTTTTTTTTTTTGGAGAGGTTTTTTCGCTATAGGGCGCGTGCGCTCGCCAGACAGACAGAGAGAGACATAGAGACAGAAAGCGAGAAATCACCCCGCAGGGGGGATGGTCATGCCGCAATCCCTTCTCCTCCATTCTCCTCTCGGGATCTTGGGCACGTACGCACACGCGCCCGGCGTGAGTTTTAAGCCACCGGGTCCGGGACGCGAACCGCGGTCGACTACGTGGGAGTCCAGCGACACAGCCATTACGCTAACTGCTGGTTCCCGCTGCCTCCTGTTTTTGATGTTTTTATTTTTGTTTTGTTTTGTTTTAATTTCCAGAGGGCATGTACACTTGGCAGAGAGAGACAGAGAGGGAAAGCACCCCCAGTGAGGTATGGTTATGCTGCCATCCCTTTTCCTTTTCTTCATTCTGTCAGGATTTTGGACACATCTGCACATGCACCCTGCATGCTTTTAAGCCAGGGGTCCAGGATTCAAACCACAACTGGTCATGTGGTTTCCAGATCCCCAAGCTGGCCTGAACTGCTTCTTTTAAAATGCCTTCCAACATTGTAACACTTAGTCCTAGTAGCAGCATTAGTTCAGGACAATTACTTGGAGCAACGTAGCCCCAGCCTAATCATCCAACCTCATGTGGAGTCATTCTGATTCTCTTTCACTCATCCTCAGTCACACTGGTCTTTTCTACTTACTCAACTAGGCCAAACTCCTCTCCTTTTCAGAATCTTCAGCATATTTTGAAGTCCTTCCTGATTGCTCTGTCCACACATTTCCTTAGCTAACTCCAATTCATCCTTTGAGTCTCAGCTTAAATTCTCATCCCTAGAAATACCTTCTCTTAGCCACTCACTCATTCAATTTAGAATAGGCTCATCACTTATTCTTTCTTATTACATCCCATATATATTTTTACTTATTATTATTATTCATACATTAAATTGCTATACATCATTTAGATTGTGAAGAGACTTTACCCAGCATGATACACACCTCAGTCCAGCCTAGTTGAGACTATCATACACATCCTCATCAACAGATAATACACCTTATCTGTGTCCCACAAGTGTCTTAACTCTCCATTTTCTCCCCAAATTTCTTTTCCTATGCTATATTTTAAATTCATAACCTCTATTAGTAATCATGTTTATTTTGTATATATTTATTCAATGTCTGTCTTCCTACTGGATTCTAGGCTTCATGAAGGCAAGAGTTAATTTGTTTGTTCATTGTCTATTGCAGTCTCAACAGATGACACTGTGCCTAATTTGTAGCAGGTGTTCAAAAAATGTTTGTTGAATAAATGAACAAATCACCATTATTAAGGAAAGAATTTTCATATGGCTATCAGAGACAGGAGAATTTCCTTAGGTTCATCTAGTCTACAAAATGTCCAAATGAAACTGGGTCCAAGAACTTAAAACAATTTCCCCATGTTTTAAATTATTAAATTACAATTGTGGTATAAGTTTCACATTTAGAATTTTGAAAAACTGAAGAATACCTAGAGGGATGGGGGACAGAAGGCTAAGTGGGAAAGAAAATGAACATTCATCAAGCTACTGTGATATGAGATATTGCAGAGATACTACACACACACACACACACACACACACACACACACACACACAGGCTCACAGGCCCACAGGTCCATGCAGTCATGTGTCACTTAACAATGGGGATACATTCTTAAAGTGTGCTGCTAAGTGATTTCATCATTATACAAATATCATAGAGTGTACTTACACAAACTTAGATGGTATAGCATATCACACACCTAGGCTATGTGGTATAGTTTATCACAATTGCATGGAACCATGATCCTATATGTGGCACATCATTGAATGAAACTTTGTTATGTAGCACATGGCTGTGTGTGTGTGTGTATGTGTGTGTGAAATTATGTAACTTAACAAAGATGGTACAGCATGGTGGTTAAAGGTCAAGGTTCTACAGCCAGACTGTCTGGGTTCAAGTACTTATTCTGCCACTAATTAGTTATGTGATCTTAAATAAATGTTAATTACCGCAATGTTCTTGGATATTTCTTGGGAAATAATAATACTACCTCGAAGGACTTTTATTACAATTAAT